CTCTGGCGATTCTCTCAGAAACTAAATCTAGAGTTCTGAGCGTTCCAACAAGACTTTACACAGTGGAACACAGTGTAATGTCTCTGTGTCCTAGCTGGAAAACAGCCAATATAGATTTTGGCGGTAAACATCGGAATGTAGCCTGCGTATATACACACACACACACACATATATGTGTATATATATCTATGAGCGTGTGTGTGTGTATATGTATGTATATATGCAGGCTGCATTCCGATATTCACTGTCAAAATCTGTAATACACGAAACGTATACTATAGATTTTCAGTATTGATATATATATGTATATAAGTTTTTTATATTTATACAATTAAAATTTTGATAGGATTTAATAAATAATATTACATATTTAAATTTTATTGTTTTTATTATATCACAAATATATATATGTATGTATTGTTTTCCATATTTATTTCTCTAGAGTTATGTCAATTTGTACTCCAATTTCTGGAATAAGAACAAAGTGCTTGTAATAATTACAATTAAATATATGAAATGTTCAATTATGCTTATATTGTTCTTACTATTCTTCCTAGTATATCGCAAGGCACATCTTTGCGCTTGACATATAATAAAATTTGTTTCTGTGTCTTTTACTGTTCCATATAATATTTTATTTAAAAAATTGCACCATTGTATTAAAAATATTTGTACCGTCATATCTAAAATTGTGCTTAAAGTAGAGGCACAGTGCATTGTAATAGCTAAGTTTTTATTGAAAATATTAATTAATTTCTCTTTTAATTTGATTTCATAGCACAAGTCTGGCATTCGTTCTTCCACGGCGGTAACACTATCTCATAATTTTTTAAATATATCGTTACTGGTTAACTCTTCCGCACACTTTGCGCACATAACTTTGCTCTGCACTCTATTTACAATGTTTTGTACATCAACAAAAATATTTTTATGTATAACACTGTCTGTGCATTCTACTTCTCACGAATTATTAGTATTGTCTGATGTTATCTCGCTTGCACGAAACATGTTTATTAATGACATAGATTTGCTATTATGAATTTCTTTACAATTTCCTGACGGAGAATGTTTTGATGTTAAGTTAGGTTGATAATTAGTAGACTTTTAAAAGCAGTAAAAAATTGATATGGCGATGGATTATTATTACGATGCCCTATATCTCTAATCTGACCAAAAAAGTTTTCCAATGGATCTCGATTGGGTGGCACCCAGTTGGACACGAGCCATTCACAGCGCTTGAGACTACAAAGCTCCTAAGCACCGGTCGCTGTGATTGGTGGTGTCCAATCGAGCCGTGGTCAATCGGGATCACCCCATCTCAATTAATGTATCTTAAATTGAAATTGGAAAAGTTAGAATTTTTAAGTTTTCTCCATAAAATTTGTGCGCCTTGAATAGTTCAAATCCAATTTTTAATACACTTTGGTGCATTTTTTCTGATTGATTTACGAGTTTCTTTTTCGACAAACTCCATCCTGCGAAGTGTACTTATAACTTTTCGCCAAAAAATAGCATGTGATTACTTTGCTGACTTATTATGCTACTCAAACGTTGTCCCTTTCTTCCATTAAACGAATCGAACAAATCATCCAAGAAGTAAATAATATCTGCTGTTGCAAGAGTGCACTCAGGCAACTTGATAGATCCTTTAGTTGTTTCAAACTCATCTACAATATGATAAATAATATTTGTATAACAATTTCTTTATTTAAACAGAATTAATTGTATAGTTTGTCATGTATTATTGCTTACCTTCTTTCAAAAGCCCACAAAACTCAAGAACAGTTCCAACCGTGTGACTCAGTACTTGTACTACGTACTTCACCTTCATTTTGGGAATCAAAGTCGGATATATGTATTTGTCTACTAATTTTTTCAATAGTCTTCCACACTGCCTCCGTGAAAAAAATTTATCTATTTCGTACATTGCTGTTATTGCATCCCATGAGGCATATTTTATCTGTGGCTTATTATTATTTATTTTATTCTCATCGCTAGTAAATAATAAATCTTTTAAGACAAAATTATTACGAATTCCTTTTTGTAAGTGCACATGATCAAACAATGGTACTATATTATGTCCTTTTATCGAAAATGTATTATTTGGTATTAGTCTCTTATTGTGCAATGCCTGGTTTTCTAAAAAGAAAATAATAAAACAATTAAAATACATCAAACGTATATGTATGTGTTTTACATATTGTATATATCTATTCATAAATAAAGGCAAATATAAATATTATATTTATATTTATGAAAAATAAGCATGTATATGAATAGTCACCTTTTTGCAACATCAATTGTGTATCTTTAATTGATTGCTGCAATATTTGTGCCACCTGATCACAAACAGTTGCAACCGGTTTGAAACCGCATTGAATTGTATTGTTAGCCACTCTTTTATACATCTCGATAATTATATCGTCTTGGTTGCTCCAGTGCAGTAATCATAACCAATTGGCATGTGGTTGCCTGATGCCAAACATCTGAGGTAGAAGACAATAGCGTGGTCAGCAAATTTTCTCGTCCTTCTATGTCCCCAATCTTCAAAACCTATGATCTTATCTGTCCTTTTATCGTAATATAAGGCAGGTTGTATAGCTACTTCGTCCCATATAAGTATACATCTTAGATCTTGAGTATCAATTTCAATTGAAAGTAATTTTAGATATTGTATTGTTGTACCGCTCCGGGTGCAAGGGTGCCGCTCCGGGCACCGTTTATAGCATTTACGGGTCAGCCACCTGCAGTATCTTCAAGACACTACGTGCCGCTCAGGGCGTTGCAGAACCACAGTTTGGACGTGCGGTGTCGGTTTATGAAGGCTCGATGTCCTCCAATAATTATAGGCCAGCGTTCGAGTTGTACAAAGAGCTTTTATTGTTCAATTACAAGTCTACGTACTGTACAATGTGTTGTGGTATAGAGATTAGATGGAGACTCTCACAGTACGCGCACTCTCACTTCACTTTTCGGAACGGCCTCGAGATGTTCGAGGCTTACCTTTTTATATTTCTTAAGTAGACCGAATTTATGCGTGATTAACAAAATTGCTTGTGTGTCACCTCCTTTGTGCTACAAAGTAGGTGACTTAATTTTGTAACGATTACTTGCACGTCTGCATAAAAAATGCCAACGAGGATTTCAGGTTCGACCTAGTTAGGTCGTAACAGTATTATAATTTTGTTACACCCAGTATCGAAAGAAATTTTGTGTAATTGTTTGTTTAATGTGGAAGGGGACGGACATAATAAATATTTCGATAGAAAATTATATATCGAGCGCGACCTTTTGTAAACAGAAATATAAAACATTTTATCTTCTAGTGTATATCTCCTAGCCTATAATAAAAGAATGTTGATGTAAATGCGCAATAATATTATTACAATAATATTATTACAAAATATAATAAACATGTACGTAATTGATTAAAAAATGAATTAAAAAATTTCGTTTATTAAAAATGAAAATCCATTGTATATAAATCAATCCATTGTATATAAATCAATCATGTATATAAATTTATTGTATTGTAAATATCTCATTAATTTTTGTTTTTTAAATTTAAATGTATAATTTCTTTGTTTTTTGCATATATAATTGCATTTATATTTATATGTAATTTATGTCTATTGATTAACATACTTATTACTTATTATCAGATTTTAATAAAGAAAATAAATATATATAAACAAATCTTAAAAAATAGTAGAAGTTTAGGAAAAGATTATGATTACATATTAGAATCGGGCTAGAATTTTACCTGTGTAACTTTGTCATTCCTTACTATCATATCCATAAATCTTTGTCGAACAGTAGTAGTCTCATCTTTTCTACCTTTATGATCTGTTGTATTTAATATAATTGTTTTTAATTTTGTATTTTTTAGAGACTTGACTATTTTCCTTAAACGTCTTGTTTCTTTTTGTAATTTTATAACGTTCTCATAAAATTTGGTAGCAGTAGGGGATAATTTTCGTTTCCTTGTTATATGCACAAGATTAATTAGGTTTTTTTGTATATGGATGTCCGTTTATTCTCTTTTTTACTTCTTTATTTAGAATTTTCTCTTGTCTTTGTACTTGTTTTTTTATCATATCTAGATCCTGTCGGAAAGTCTGTATACTTTCATCATGTTGCATTAACATTTTACAATCCATTGTTATCTTTTCTACTTGTGCATCTGTGTTAGAAGTTTCTTCTTCTTGCTGTTGATGAATTACAGTTGGATTTTCTTCTGATTGTGATATAGCTATTGTTTCTTGTTGGGACATTTGTATTGTTTCATGATGTTGAGATGATTTCATTATGTCCACGCATCTTTGGACTTCACACATGTCAATGTCAATTGATGGAACAGCTGTGTCCACTAAGCGTCTCTTATTTAAACAGCAGCTATAATCACTGTTTTTAAAATGTTTGTAACACACACGTAGTTTGTTTATTATATTTTTATTTTCTTCTGTTAGGCTTAAACGTTGTAACCAGTCAATGCGACGTTTGACATTTTTTGGAAATTGATGAGATGACATGTTTCCACTGGATTTGCATCCAGAGATGCAACAGGCTCGCATGTTTTAAAAGTAAATAAGGACAGTTAAAAATAGCTCGTTCACTTCAAATTTTGATGAAAATACACTGACATACTGCGTTTTCGCGTGAAATGTGATGAAATGTGATTGAATTTAATGGAATTATAAATGGCGGACACTTTTATAGCGTTTTCGGCCCGATCGGGTTTGCACCAACCTTGGTTGGATTAATCTTTCCTATTGGTTGACGTCACCCGCTCTACCAATAGGAGAGCACAAAACGCCATTAATCCAACCCAGGTTGGTGCAAACCTGGCCGGGCCGAAAACGCTATTAGTTCGTCTATCTGCTCTATGGCAAGGTAGTTGGCGCTGCAAACACGGTCAACGTAAAGTCACTAGATTTATAAAGTACCGCAATCATTCCGCCATTTTGGCTTCAACATGCAGTTCATTCAAACATGCATATGAGTATGAATGTGTTTACACAACAGACAGATTAAATACATTACACTTATAGCGTTTTCGGCCCGG